CGCCAATTCTAAAATCCCATGTATATCCAATGATAAGACGGGAAAGATATTCAACTTCTATTTCTCCCTTCAATCTCAATCTTGGTTCGTTAGGGTCACGTTTTGTTGCGTGATCTCGTCTTACAAAGAAGTTTGTTACTTTTTGGATCGTTCGTTATCTTTAATTGACAATTTCGTCGAGGAGAAAATGGAAGCGGAAAGAGGGATCGTCGACAACGCGACGTTGTTAGATCGGTCTTTCTAGAGTTCCTTATGACACCGCGTGATGCTTCCTGATTGGTCCGCCATTAATAGAGAAGAAGTTAAGTAAAAGTGAGACAAAGTTATAACATCCAAATGAAAAGTACGAGAATGGGGAGGCTGTCTCTCTCGATCGTTCGCTATAGTTCCCTATTAATAGCGGACGGTGTCGTAACTCTTATTAGAGGAACTCTAGGTCTTTCCATGACAAATACCAGCGTAGCCGTCCTCTACCTACCTCTCGGTCTTATGCGATAAAATGGCGATCGGGATTCCGCGCGAATTCGTGCCGCGACGGTAATCGAAATTACTCGAATTCCCAATTCGTGAGTTTTAAAATGTGAACGTGCGATTAAATCTCCGGAGAGACTCCGTCGCGAGAATGTCTCGTCCTTATCGTTTTAATCTTCGTGTCGCTGGGAAACCGTTCGGCTGGGGAAAAAAAGCGCGGATTCCTGGAAGAAAGAATTCGCGATTGGCTGGCTTGGGTTCGATTAAGCTCATTTGTCTCGACCCTCCAGTGAAATGTTGCGCGCGATAATGTGTTTCGTTTTGCGGGTGCCGGCATACATCCTATAGATACTATATAATTGTCATTGCAAGAAAGATTACCGCGTTATTTCATGCTTGATTTTTACAGCGTCGCTCGCTCTGATGGAATGTTCTTTCCGACTATAACTGTCTCGAGCAATTCTCGACTGGTAATGGATGTAGACTCATAAAAGCGTTTTCCTTAAACTCATAAAACGCATTTATGTGTTTACGTTCTCTCGATAAAGGTAAAGAAAGCCGGCCATTCCGATGCGGTATAATCCGCGGGAAAAAAATTTATTTTTATATAAAATTTATTATAGAATATATTATAAGCGCCCATGTATCATATCGTGAGTAAAGCATGACATGTATTTTAATGGAAATATTTCTTTATTATTAATAACTAAATTATTTGTTTAAAATGACAAATGGTAGTTAGTAAATGTATTAAGTTGTCACAGAATTTTGACAAATGTGACCTGTATCGTTACAAGTATAATATTCTTTATGAGTATAAGCAAAGATAAAAATAATCAAAAGCTTATTTTAAATCCACAAATATTTGAAACAAGAGATATTTATAATATGTGTTCTGTAAAATTTTTCTAATAAAGTTTCGTAGCAAGAAAATAAATAATCGATTCTCGAGTTACGTCATAGGAATGCCGAAGATAGTGTGTGACGGATATATTTCAGGTTTATGAATATCGCAGCAACAGGAATTATATATATATATAGTGTGCACCGGAATATTAGGCCACTTTCTACGAAACTATGCTAACTAAGACTGGATTAGCTATGCAAATCACTGAGTTACACGAGAGTTTCCACTTTTCGCCTATGTCGATGTATAATTATCGCGTAGAGAAATGCACGCTTGCCGAGTATATATTCCCTCTTTTGATTTTGATGAAATAAATTATATCTCACACAGGTACTCTCTCTAAATATTACTTAGTTATTATATGTAAGTATCTGGTAATGTTACATAATTCTTACTTAAGAATAAATCGTCTTTGACGAGATAAATCGAAGACTACGTTTGACGAGCAGCTTAATATAGAAAATATATTTACTTTGTAAGAAAACTTCGAGAAAAAGTTTTTTAATTAAAAAGATTGAAATATTTTTATAAAAGTTACTAAACTAACGATCCACTTTATTGAAATAATCACATTATTTGTGCATAAATTTAATATAAAATATTATAATTATCTCATGGTTTTTTCTTTGCCTCATTTTTATATATTTTATATAATACGATTTTATCTATCCTATATACTTTATATATCTTGTTTTTTCTGTACTCGCAGGCCGTGTAGTACAGCAAAGTCGTAAGATGAAAAAGTCTTCGATGCAACATTGCAACATTGTTAAATCTTCCGACTTTCCGTTTCTTTTCTCTCTCGTTACCTTTATATCAATTTACGTTCGACTTTTATCGGGCTATTTCTGTTTTCAACGTACGGTTTAACTGTTCGGCTGATCAGTCGAAACGACTGCTTATTCTCTTATAAATTAGAAGTAAAGAAATTATAGCGTAGATCTAACTCATTTTATAGAATTATATTGCAATTAAAAAAAGTCGGGATTAAAAAACAATAGTGTATAAGAAATAATAATAACACACAAGAGAACCAGCTATATTTCTATGAGTATACTTTTTTATCCGGACAAAATATATCGAAATTTCTCTTTCTCGTAAAAATACCATCTCAGAAAATAGGTCGCATTTCAAAAGGCGCGAATTGTAAATGACATTCTCGAAAACCGTTTCGCTTGGAATTTGCGTGACTCGCGAAATCATATAGACGCTTCGTAACGGAATTCCGCTCCGTTCCGATCCCATGACTTTTATCCCATATCCGGTTACTTCTGTATTCGGCTTGTCGACTCTTGCATCTTCAGGTCATATTCTTCAGAGGCAATTCGCCAAGTGCGAAACGAGATTGTCGGTATTTGTTTCGTCTGTGGAAGATGTCTGTGGAAGCATCATCGCTCGAGCTCACGCTTTTCATAGAACGAGATAATAAGAAGTGATATCGCGTGCCAAAGGTAAAGTAGGATCGTCCGGAAAAATAGCTTTGCACGAAATAGCTTTGCCCTACGGTCGACAAGATGCTTTCTTAAAAGCAAAGGATTTACTTTCAATGGCTATACTCAATGACTCAATTAGCTTCTTGTGAAAAATAAGATTACACTGTGTGAGATAAAAGAACTAGGTAATAATAGATAATAGATTATTTGTTTATATATATGTGACTTTTCGCTATAGACGAAATTTAAAGTTCTAAATATTTTTCGGCTAAATAAATAATTGAAACGATAAATAATTTATCTTGTCGAAAAAAGTTCGAAAATGCTTAATAAATATATGTTATATTTTTAATTTACTTTAAACATAATATATATTTAAAATCGAGCTTTCATATAAGCTGACAATTTATAAAATATATATGAAAAGATACTGTATTTTTATGTTTTTTTAAATTTTCTCATCAATTAGATATATAAAAAGAATTTAAGAAACTTCTTTGCGATAAGAGAATTGAATTAATGCGGCGAAAATTAGCAACATCAATTCTTTTACACGCGCGCAAACGACTATAATAATGACTTACGTACGGCAAGTCCGCAAACCATCCCGCCGGTCAAACTGCACGCGGTGTTATTAATTATCTCGCGTTGCACTCCATCAGCAGCTAATCAATCGAGGTCAGTGACTAACGCGAGTACGACAGCCGAGGTGACCGAACCGCTCGAGCTTGCTGCATACTAAATTTTGGGGGTGGTATCAAAACGAGAGTTGTTACACTATTGGGGATAACCTTCTGGGAAATCTTGGAAAACCTTATCCTCTATTTTTCTTGATATAGTCGTATTTATTTCTGTTCCATTTTTTATCATAGCTATTAGGTCAACCCATAAGTTTGCTGTTTAGTGCGAATAAATACTTGTCATAAATAATATCCAATATAAATGTAATAAAAAATTAGATATAACAAAACAGTAAATTCTAATTATAATAGAAAAGCCATATATAAAATTCAAATAATGAAAACAGTTTCCGTCAATATTTAACAAAATTTAAATAAATAAGAGAAAGAAAAACGCGGGTGGAACGTGGTTCGAAAATGACAAGGAGATCAAACTTTATAATAATTAATATTAAAACGTCATTGATGTATGTACATTGCCACGTTCTTCTAATTTTTCGATTTTCGCGCCCGGAATAATTTTCTTGAAAGAATTCGGTCAAAAATAACGCGCAACGACCTGTTACGGCCACGCTGGTCGGATCGATCCTGTCTCTTTCATTTCCGCTCCACCGAAGGAAAGAAGGAAGGAAGAACTACAGATCCAAAGTGAAAGGCACCTCGAACCGCGAATACTTCGAAGCTCCTAAATCGCTTCGGAGAAGTCACGTAAACTCGCAAGGAAAGTTCGAAAAATGTTCTCTTGGAAACTACGGGAAGAGCATTAGCGAGCACCGTCATACCTGGTGTCCGGCTAAATTTCAAACTTGTTCGTGGTAAAAAATTTATTGGAGGCTTTAATGTCTATTTTACAATTTATAGTGCTATCTTATTTTTTTTCGTACGAAAATTATAAGAACTCTATCGCAACTAATCAAATAAATCAAATAAATAATAAAAAATATTAAAAGTAATTTATCAAATTTATTTGTATGAACAGCACGCTTGTAATACGGTTTCCCCAAGGTGCACTTTATATTAGGAGTAAAAGAACGGGACTTGTCTCGCGAAATAACACATTCGTGAATTCCCTGGACGAGAATTAAATTGAAATGCTGTAGTATTTACTTGACGTGTACGATGTAGTCTAAAATATTTGCGCGAAAAGCGAAGGTTCGCATTTACTGTTCGAAAAATCAATAGTGTCAACATCATTTTAGAGAGAACGCAGTGATTCGAACGTAATTTTCAGATGTGTGTCGACATCTGTCTTCTTTCTTGATTACGTGAAATGTTAAATTTGACTTAAAGATTATTTTTCAAAACTATGGCACAGCTGCAAAAGCTGTTGATCGTACAAATTTGCAATATATTTTATAAATCTGTATTTTTCATTATTTAGGTTGAAATTCTTTAAGTAAAGTGCGATATTCGTTGCTTTAGTTAACATTTTAATAACTGATGACAAGGAATTTCTTGTAATATAACTCTCTTTTATGTAACTTTTGCATAATTTTCATTTAATTACAGGAATGGAACGACGTAAACATGAGATGGAACGTCTCGGACTATGGAGGTGTACGAGACCTCAGAATACCGCCACATAGGTTGTGGAAACCCGACGTTCTTATGTATAACAGGTAATGTAAAATTACATTAACATTACATTAAAATTTTCTATGTACATGCTCGCATCTTTTTTATATTCTTCCTCATTACGTAGCAAATGTATATCTTTGAAGTAAGGAATAATAATATTCTTAAAATAAAGGTTTTATATATGGATACTCCTCGAATCAATTTTGCGTTTTGAAAAACTTATACATATACATTATATCAAAATATTACTTTTATATAAAATAATAATTTATGTACTTGTAAAAATCAGAAATCAGAAATGAATCAGGAACTTATAGACACACTCTATGTTGAAAAAACGGAGTATTTTCTAATAAATTATAATAACTTTGTGATTTTTAGTTGTATTTTATTTTTTGTATTCATGATATCTGACATTTACGTTGTACCAAATATAATATATATAATATTATGCGAAAGTCACTTTTGCTTTCATTCACTAACACTTTCCGAAGAAATTCGGTGATAAAAGAATTTTATCGGCCAGCAAACGCCGTTTAAACATAAGATAAATTGAAAAACCACCTTAGATCTATGAACTGTCTCCCAGCTACATTATAGATCCTAAAATAGCATTTAACCCATGAAAGTACAGGTCGAGTTCAATTATCATACATTTAACATCGTGATGTTTCAAAACCAACCCGAAAAAAACGTTCTCTCTGATCGGATGGCAAAGCAATGAAACGTTTCGATAAATTTACGTAACATTTATCATGTATATTGGAATTTACTGAACACAGTTTAAATCGAGGATATTTCATTCAACTCACATACTTTTTTAATTGACGTCGTTCTCGGGAACGTAAACATATAAAATATTCAACGTAATTATCGTTTTTCAGAGTAGACGTACCGAAAAGGAATTTCTTAATGATGCAATTAAAACATTTATTTAAATATATGTCTACCATTATGTGCTGCATAATATTATTATAATACATAATGTAAGCGTAACATGCAATCAATTGGTATAAATAAAATTTGACATAAAAAAAAAGAAGATATTTGAAGAAAAAGATCTATATGTAAACGCGTATAATTGTATTTGTTGTGTAATTATCGGTAATTAAGAGTGTATGAGATTATATATAAAATAATATAACGATAGATGAGAAAATAAGTAACAAAAAAAATCTCAAATTAAAATAATCTATTTCGTATTTAAACTTAATTTGGTGATTTATAGATTATACGTAATAAAGATTACTGTAATATACGGTAATATTTTATCGATGTCATCTGTGAATATTAAAATACCACAAATTCCACAATGACAACCGTAACAACGTGCTTCATGCATTTTTCACGGAGTTCTCCACTTTTAATAAAGCATATTGTCGACGTGTGCTATTGTTGGTGGAAATTCCATGTACATGCTTACGCTGCTAATATGCCGAAATCGCACGTATCGATTGTACAAGCGTGTTTCACATAGTTGCCCTTGCATGGTTGTAACCACATAATATAATGCTAAACTGCGGAATCGGGGTGCGGAGCAATAATGTACGACCGCGATGCGTCAGTTAATCGATTAATTAATCTATGGTAATTTGTTTAAAAATTTGGGCTCTCAGCTCACCGCGATATACGCAGTTTAAAATAATTTCCACAACGTAATTGTTGTGGAAAATTGAAAGGGGATCAAAGCTTTATTATTATTTTGCAAGTCGAGCAATTTTTTAAAGAAATAAACCATTTATCGCGTAATACAGTGACTTAATTGCTATATACTATACTTCAAAATAGAAATGTCTCTTCTTTAAATTCCTGTTTAACAGGCTATCACAATTTTGTATTTACTTTTCAATCAACGTGTCAAAACATGGCATACATTAATTAATTAACCGTGAAAGGTTGATCACACATAGCAGCGTTATCATCGCTGCGCCGTTTTTCATTATTTTGTATGCAATCTACTCGCGAGGCCGGCATGCATAGTGTGCGTGCATGCGTGAGAAAGTTTATAAACGCACCGTGCAACGTCCATCACATAGCTGCGTCTATGTACCGCACCAACATTAACGTGCGACCATATTATGTACCGCAGGTCATCGGGTCAGTTACAAAGACGGTTTACGCTCGAAGTGAATTGCAAATTGATCGATAAAACGTCGTTGAATTATTTTAGAGCGCAAGCCCCGACACGTTTTCTCACAATGCGAATTGCTCGCGCCGTGAATTATTTACACACCGGGTGAGGAGAATTTCCGCTATTTAATTTTCGCTTTTTGCCCTCACTGACAGATAAAGCAAACTTTCATTTAAAAAACTTCGCTCAGCAAAAAGAGAACGTAGAAAGTATGAAATATAATCATTTCAGTATTTATATTTCACTGTGTTCAAAATTTTGTATGTTTAAATTATAAACGGCTCAGCATTGTACGCAATTTTTGTTCGTTAAACTCTTTGATTGTCATGCTTTGGAGAGCGGGAATGGGAACGGAATTATTAATGCAAATACTTGGTTGTTTGATTTTGTAAACGACGTTACTCTAATAAAAAGTTTCATTGTGATTGGATACAATTATTTTTCATAATTTTATAATCTTCAGTATTAGATATTTTTATTTAATTATAGCCGCGATCCAGCTTCTATGAAAATTTGTTTAAAACTAAAAACCGAAGCATGAAAAGTTTTGTTATTTATTTGCAGTAACCTAATTCGCCAAAACCATACGAGTTTAACGCGAGATACGCCGTGATGCACCTTCGATTACAACAGACGTCGTGTATATATACTCTTTTTATATACTCGCCGCAAGTGTGTTTTGTCGGGCATGCACCCGGTCATAATCGCTCTCCATCGCGACGCCTTTATGCGATGCATCCAACGTTATTATGTGGGCACGGACCACGTAATATATAACGCAGCCAGGAAAGGGGGGGGGGGCTTCGCGGGGGGTCACTAGCAAAGATGGTGCACACCTAAGGACTGATCGATCACTTAACTGCTTTGTCGCTTCGTCACGGCGCAATTCTCCCGTGCTCCACTTTTCATCCAGGTCCGTGCAGGTCTCCACGTGCACGTCGCCGAGACGATTTTATCGCGCATATTCTGCACATAGGGTGTCCCAGGCCAATCGCCGTCTCTCTTTCATCTCCCGTATCTCTGATTTTAAAGAAGTGCGCGATTACCGGTCCAGATACTGTACGTTTTTACTGGATTAACTGAGAAAGCGGAAGTCGACGCCGGAAAAGCGGAAGCGATGGAAGGGAGACACGTCGTGAAACGTTGACGCATCTTTCACGACGACGTGATATCAACGATATCGCGTATCGCTTTAGTCGAATGGCGAATCTCATTTACAAGACGTAATAAAATAGTTAACAACTCGAAGTAACATCGAGCCGTTAAAAGACGCTCGTATTACCATACGGTATTTCGCACGACGCAAACTTGTCGTCGTATTTCGAGCATGACTGAGACGTTGCTAATTAGTAAATAGTATTTACCGGCAGCGTTGTCGCATTTCGAGTTTCTAAAAGTATACGACGGCCAATTTCGAAGAATGATTTACGCGAGAGTTCTAATTGAATGCTAACGCGGACGGAGCGTTCGCTGTATTTTTCGCATTTCCTTATTAATTCACAGTCACATATCGCTAACTGTAACGCTATGATTTATCATTCGATATATCCGTAATGTGATATCAGAAGAACTGGCTCGTCCCATCGTTTCGCAAATGAAATTCATCCGGGATGATCATCACGAATGCACCACGTAAATTCATTTTAAGCTATCGCGGGGATAGGTGCAATAACGTGCAATGGGTAAAGTGGAGCGCCGGGCCAACTGGGTCACGCGCATTAAAAACAAAGCTACCGCCACCATTTAAAGAGAATCAGGGAAAGTATCTCCGTCCGCGACGGTAATACATTGTCGGGAAACGCTTGCGGCCACGCCATTGTCTTTAAGTAGGTAATGCATCGGGTGTTCGCCGCCGTCGTCGTATTTGTCGAATTAAAACTTCGCCTCGCGATGCATTAGCAGAAACGAATGGCTGACGAACTTGCCGGCGAAGTGAAACGTTTAATGGACCGATCTCTACGCGGTCGCCGCGCAAGAACTTTGTCCGTCGATTTGCGACTTTGATTGCCCGACTTCCGTTTTTGTCGATTTAATCGCGTAAAGTAAGACGAATTCAACGATAAAAGTGTCCGTGAGCGTCTCTTCGACGTATTAAATAAATTTATACAGCTTTGGAAACTATTAACGAAAGACAAGTCGTGATTACATTATCGCAATTGTGATTAGATTTATTACAGAAAATCTAATAGACGCTATTTTCGATTTCTCTAGATCCGTCCGTCTATTATTACATACAATATTCAAGTTATTCCAGGAGCGGTGTAGCTTTTGTACTTTCTACTATGATAAGTGACACCAAAAGAAAACCTCAAGAGAAAACCCAACTAGATCCTCGTATTTAAACGAGTTGATATTTATGAATATCGTCATACGACAGTGGAGTATTAAATATTGATATAATGTTCTTCAATGTTCTGCGACGAGACACCCAGTATATCCCACAGGAGGTGTATCAAAAACGGTTTGCATGCATTCACATTTTTCCGCATTCAGCTCACGCTGCACGCTTCGATTATTCATTCGAGCGCTTCTGCGCCATTTCGCTCTCCCGATCCCACATTCTGTTTGGCTTGTTAACGGTGACCCCGACCAATACCGTGTCACATATTAACCTTCAATTAAATATCATTCATGAAAGAACTAATAATAATTGTTATCAGATAGAAATTATATTTAGGTTATTGTGTTGAGTTTATCCGAATTCATTCGCACGAATTTGATGCGATCCATGTTATTGATGATCTCGTTGCATAATAATGCGTAAACTTGCAAAATTTAAATTACATAAGTACATTATATGGTAATTAAAACCAAATTGATCAGAATATAATATTAATAATAACAGATGTTTTTCTATTTAAAAAAATGATATATACTTTATTTTACCGCAAAGAAATTGACGATTGAATT